CGTTTTCCGGCTAGATTTAGCCGGTTGCGATAGCAAACAGCCGGAGAAATTTCGATTTAGCCGGCAGCCGATTTGTTAGCCGTTTTGCAGAAAAAAATTAGCCGTTTTTGCTTTTTCCTAGTTTTCTTAAATTTCAAATATGTATATATGTTTCCATTTTTGACTAAGCGACCCAAAATCTGTTAGAAATGGCTACTAGCCTTATCGTGGAGAAAATTTTCATGTCAGGCAGGGTTGAATGAAATTGGGCCGATTTCGCTTATTTTTATTTTAAACGAAGAAGGAATTTTCTTCAAAAAATGTTTGCTATAAATGTCTTAGTTTTAAGTGTGATGTTTTATTCGCAAACTTAGAAAATAAGAAATTATTTCACTGTTAAGACACTTAAGATGCGTTTGTGTTTGGAAGTGTGACAACAAACAGAATAAATATTACATGTAGATATTGTCTTTCCAGATAGCGCATATTCAATTTTGCCTAAATTACAAAACATCATTTTTGCCCACTCCCAAAAGTTTAAGGTAAGGGAAAAATTGATATTTTCAGGCACTATGTACACGTACATATGTATTTTCTTAAACAAATCTTTTTGCTGAGAACTTATTTAAATTCCAAAAACCGAATGCCAACTTGAATTAAAGGAACCAACACTGACTGCGAGAGAGAAATGCCAAAACGCATAGAAAAATATGTAAACAATGCAGAAAAATTTGTTAATTTTAACATTACATGGCCCAATTTTGCAGGAATCAATAAATGTACAAAGATTGATTAATTAGGAACACGTAGCAACAATTTTGGACATGTAGCCCTTTAGGTAAGTACGATTTTTAGCACATGAAAACTTGCTGACAATTCTTTTGTTTTCTCTGTGATGAGCTCATTCCGCACGCTGGGAACCCCCCAGATTTTCTTCGTAAATAGTAGGCACCGCACCACGTTTTAAACGACGAAGTTTTGCAAAACCTAAGGCGTTTACGAAAACGATATTAAGTTCAATTAATATGAAAATACACAATATGTTACCCATTTCGAACTGTGTATTATTTTCAATATCTTCACTAGTAAAGTGCTTCATGCACACAAAGCTCGATTTGGTGTTTAATGCATAATCGCGGGCGGAACTTCTTCCACTTTTCCGCCAGGTTCGCGTCCGTAGGAAACGAAAAAAACTTATATCGCATGCTTTCCTTTTGTTTTCACTATTACACTTTGCCACTGCACACTTCATTTTGCTTTGTAATGTCTCAATAATTGTTTAAAACCACGCAGATATCTTAACGCACAAATATTAAAATTGTTATTTGGTTTTTTCGTATGCTCACAATCAACAATTGCACCAAGATGACGTCACGCACACAGCTGATTCTGTCAAAATCACAAAGAGCGGATTAGCGGTCATTGTGTACAAATACAAGTGAGATATCTTAGCAACAGACGTCATCCTGGGCCACAGCTGCGATCATCTGTTTTTTAGAATTGCTTATTTTGGTCCAAGCTGTGCCTTTTTGACCTGATTTGCATTAAATAGTCTCAAAAACTTAGTACTATTTGTTATTTAAATGGTAACATATATGCCCAAAAACTTGGAAAATATTAGATGATTGTTTTTTAAAAATGTTATTTATAAAATTTCCTTTTGATTTCGACTTTAGAAATATTCATATTATAAAAGTTTTTCACATATGTATTAAGATTTTAAAGTTTTTAAAAAGTACGGTAGAATGCAACAATGTGCTTGAATTTGTTTGCATCTTCGTCAGCTTATTCGTTTGCAGACGGGAAAAATTACGAACGGCTATCAAAATACTGATTCAAAATATACATCTTTCACTGGACACACAAATTGGGTGTGCGCAGCAAAATTCAGCCCTAATGGCCAGTTAATTGCATCGTGCGGCGACAAGTTAAGAATTTGCGGTACATCTTCAGGCGAATGTGTGCGTTCACCCGGGAAGAGGTATGGGACGACAGCTGGCATGGCATCCAGACGGTAATCTGGTGGCTTTAGCATTAAGCTGTAACCGTGTTAAGATATTTGACATAGCCGAAGGCGAGCTAATACAGTTGTGTCAAGTGCATTCGTCGCCGGAGAATGATGTTGCATTTCACCCAGGTGGAAATTTCTTGGTGACTGGCGGCGATGACGGTACAATAACATTGCTTGATTTATTAGAAGGTCGACCAATTTATACACGGTAGTAGTGCACTTTAGCGGAACCAGGTCAAAATGGACGGGAAAATTATACACTAACTGGCCATACTGACAAAGTTTGCGCCGTCGCTTTCTCCACATGGTAGACATTTTGCTTCCGCGGGCGAGGATCGACAGGTAATTTCTGCTTTGTGTGTGAATACATACATTTTTACATACATTAAAAATAATAATATAATATTCATTTAATATACATTTTTTCCCCATATATTCAACAGTTGCTCGTTTGGAAATCTAATTTGCATACATTTGATGCCAATAGCTTTCGCAACAAACAAGCCAGTTCTCAAAGAGTCCAAATTGATTTTAGTCATGCAACTCCGCNTTCAACAGTTGCCCGTTTGGAAATCTAATTTGCATACATTTGATGCCAATAGCTTTCGCAACAAACAAGCCAGTTCTCAAAGAGTCCAAATTGATTTTAGTCATGCAACTCCGCCATAGACACACCAGTTGCTGGAGTACCAAAAAGCTGTGATGACAGTATTTTAATTGATCCACGACAATCGGTGGCATATGGAATGCGTGATGGAAATTTTCTGGTGCTTGATAGCCAATATACTAGAAGAGTGAAACGCTACAAGTGAAACACTGAGATAGTAATTTTTCTTAAATTTCCATCTTTTATTTGCAGTTACATTAAGAAGCTAATAGAGGGCAGAGCTGTTGGTGAGGAAGGTGTCGAGTTACTGCAGTACTGCAACTGGGAAAATCCACATTTCGCACGTGCCCCACTCGTATGGAATAGTAGCTTATGTCAAAAGGCTGGTTTTAGTATAATGCGGCATTCGCAGCATACCCTCACTGGCGCCGAGCCGTTGAAGAAATTTTGGCAAATAAACGTGCAAGAAATAGTTCCGATACTAGCACGCCCATATTCTTGTTAAGGGTCATCAAAAAATTCCTTGTGTTGTAAATAATAAAGGGAATGCCGGATTATACTAAAGCCAGCTTCCCGACATAAACTACTATTCCATACGAACACAGAAATATAAATGTATCTAAAACTGAATAACTCAAATCAAATTGGATTGCATTTACATAATATACCTAATATTGTAATCTGTTTTGATCGTAAAAAATACAACTTGCAATCATTTAGATTATAGTTTTGAAAGAAATTGATTGCAATCGTAAATTGTGTAAAAATTGTTAATAGCAATCTGCGTTAAATTTATGTTCCCCATGTAACGGTTATAAAATACGTTAAATCTGCACTATCTGCATTAACAAAAACTATACATTGGAATATTTAAATTAAAACGATTCATATTTATTTTCTAATAATTGTTTCTTAATTTAAAGTATTTAATACTAATATAATGTAGTGGTTAATGTTTAAAAATGAATTCGCAATATGTCCGCAGCTCAGGTTGATTTGAAGAAATCCGTTTAAATTTTTCGAATTACATCTACTTGAATATAGGATAGGCAGGGTTGCATACAAATGGTAGTTCCGTAAATATCTAAAATATGTTAGTTCATTCAATATTTACATCTGGGCCAATAAATAATAACAAATATAGCCGAAAAAAACAAAGTTTCGATTAAAACGAGTTTTTATAACCCCCCCCCCCCCATAAAATTCCGATTAATTTTAAATAGGAAAATAACAATATCTTTTCATGGAGAAGTAATTTTTTTTCGTATACCTTGTTTATACCTACACAAGAACCGCATTAGCAAAAAACCGATTGGACTCAACATATATTCCTTTACAGCATATATACCCCTGTCTTTATAGCGCACTCGATAAAGTCTTATTCAAAAGTAAACAAAATCTATTTTTAAACGACATTTTTTTAATAAATAATTTTCGCGGTTGACCGAAATGGAAACAAACAATGATTGTAATTTATTATAACAATAATTCGAATTTAAAACGGACTGTATAAAGAAACCCAGGCTATTGTCACTTCACTTCAAATGAGTGATGCGTTTATACTTGTTTTCTAACTGATGTGAGAAACAAAAAACCGATTTGAAAACAAATAGAAGTCAACACACTTTTCAATTTCAACGCGTTTTGAAATTTAGTTTATGCATCCGTTTTGAATCACAGCGAACTGGTTCAAAGCGCCTTATGTGTCGGTATAAACAAGGTAATAGAGCCTTCTGATTCTTAACAACATATGTACATTAGACATTTTATTTAACTGTTGAAATGGTAACAATTACTATGCGCAAAAAGTTACTATACATTAAATTTTTGTTTTATAAAAATAAATTTTTTTAATTTCACTTTAATTTAGACAGTGGTATTATTTTCATTTTAAAAATGTATCACATATTTTTGAAGATTTTCAAAGCTTTAAAAAAATACTGCAGAACACAACAATGAGCCTTAGGAATAATAAATAAGCAATTACCTTTTCTTAAAATTTCAGACGTTTTGTTCGACAATAAATAAGCAATTGCTTTTTCTTAAAATTTCAGACCTTTTATTCGATTTGTTCAACCAAATCTAAATAAAAGGTTTGAAATTTTAAGAAAAAGCAATCGCTTATTTTTGAATTATTTTATATACTTATTTTCTGTCTCAAAATGGCTTCTCGGCCATGCGGTGGAGTAAATTGAAAAACAAAAAAGAAAAATATTTGAATAAGAAACCGATTTAGTTAATAAAAAAGGAGATTGAACATTAATCATGACGATAATGCTTCATTAGACGCCAGGCCAATAACCTAATTCATCAAACAAACATTCGTTTGCGGATGTGGTAAACATCGTCCCAATTGTACGTTTGTCTCCAATTTCTTTTATTAATAATTGAATAAATTTAATTTAGTTTATTTCTACTTTCCGAAAATTTCCAATGGTGCTGATTGCTGCAAGAATTATTTAGCGATTTGGAGCATAATCAACACAATATATGCACATAAATATGCATTATTTCAGAGATCTCGGGGTCAGCTTAGAAATACGTCACCAAAATTATATAAAATTTAAGTAGGAATTATTTTTATTTATAACGTAAAAGCGCTATCTGACCGAATCTGATAAGTATATTTCCCCTAAAGTCAACCCATTTTATTTACTTTGTCTCTCGTGAAAATATATATTTTATTTAAAATTTTCAGATAAGTACATATATTTTAAATATTTGCTTTAATTTTTATCTCCTTTTAATATTTATTTAGATACCTTAAGATTAAAATAAGCTTAAAACGAAACAGCACAGCAACCCTTTTCTGTTCATCTTGAGCACACAAAACCCTCTTTTGTTAAAATTCGGCGCTGCACAAAATACTGGCTTTTATATTTACCAACAAAATACCACTTCGCAACCCTGGATTTTCACGAAGCGTTTCATTCGGATCGTAGTTTTGCAACTTCGGGCCATTCGGTGTTGTATGCCATATTGGCTGCCATATTGTTCACACTGTCATCGCCATATTGAACACCCTGTCAACTATCTGTCAACCCTAAGATATCTCACTTGTATTCTTCCACAATGTTAGCGGTACCGCGATTGGCGCAATCTCTTAGTCTGTTCCAATAGCAGTCCGGTTTACAGGATTTAGTCAGAACTTACAGGAAGTCGTTCCTATTGACATAAAACCTGTAAGTGGGAACACATTTGAGAGAGTAACTGAGCAACTGTTCCTAGTCAGAAGTTACAGGATTTAGTCCGGAGTTTCTTTTCCTGTAAGTTCATGAAAAGTGTCAAACGATCAGCTGATTTGCATGTGCAAGCAAAAACAAACAGCGGTGAAAGCAAAGTACAATATATTTGTAAAAAAATGGAAGTAAACAACGAAATGTTTGAATATGTATACATTTTAATAATTATTTAGTGAAATATCAGCTAAATCAGTGTTGTAAAAATGACATGTAAACAAACCGACTGACGTTTTTACAGGAAATAGTGCTTTTTGCGTTCCTATGCACTTCTGCATCTGTTCTCCTTTTACTCTCATTTGAGAGAGTAAAATTGTAGTTTGACAGTTCCACAGGTTTTAGTCCGAAGTTCAAAGGAACAGACTATCTATTTCTCTCAATCGTGGCAGCAGACGAGCGAGGCGAGTAAATGAGTGAGGCAAATGACGCAAGCAGATTAGACAGGCAAACGGATTGTTTGGTCAGAAAAAATGTATGGGGTAAAAATTTAATTCAACGCCAACGCAACGTCAATTTGTATGTGAACCGGCTTCTGCTCTTTGGTTACGCAAATTTTCCCATGTCTACATATGCATACATACATATGTATGTACATACATACATATGTATGTACATACATATCAAGGCATAACAAGGTAGAAGTGATTTCGACATTTCTCTCTTTTGAACTGCGACTAAAATGTCAACTCTTAATTTTAATTTTTTTAATACAAATTTTCAATTGTGAGCTGTGCGACTGATTTTAAATACATAATAAAATGAAAAGGAATTACGGGCGGTATGTTGTGTTTGACAAGAGCCAGGACAACAAACTTGTGCGTTATTTTAAAACTCCGAAGTATCAATGCTTCATTAGGAGACTCTTCACGTGTGCGCGAAAACCATTTTAGTGCCAGTGACTTTATTTGTTGCCCATCGCAGCCGGGTATTTCTAGGCGGACGCGTTTGTTCCCAGGTGCAGGAATTATTATACCGAATATGAGAAAATCTTCCACTTATATACATGGATAGACCAAATTTCAAATGGTGGTCTAATAAAACCTAAACCGCAATTCCTTGTTGACATAAAGAAACTGAAATTAACTTTTAATAAATTTAATGGAAAGGAAATTTCGAATTGCAAAAATTTAATAACTGAATTATTGAAGTTATGTTCTGGTGTCAATTTAGAATATTCAAACCTTTTTTTAAATGTCTAATATACTTTAGAATTAAGTATTTGAATAAAAAAAAATAAATGCTTAAAAACATTGGGCTAGTAAAAGCAAGAAAATTGCCAAAATGGGTTTATAAATGAGTGTGTTTCACTTAGTGTGTAATTTTGTGTAAGTACGCATTTCCACATCTACATTAAAACGAAAATGCAATACCTAAAATGAAGCTGATTCTAATGAGATTTTAAAAATTTTCATATCTACAAAAACTTTCATTTCAAAGACAGATATCCCATTGAAACTTGTGTCAAAAAGCTGCTTTTAACTTTAGGAGTCGACTTTGTTTTGACTATAGCTACGGGCTTGAGTTTTATCAAATACTAGCAGACCCGGCGAACTTCGTCCCGCCCAAAATTTTTATATATTTTATTGAAACTTTTTGGTCCAACATTTTCACCAACAATTCACGTTTACGATTTTCATTGGCACATTAGTCTGCTAAGATTAAGGTTTGGTGGTCATTTGCCGCTTTAAATAACCTAAGGAAAGTGTTATATCCGTTCTTGAAATTCTCCAGTTGTGCGGCATTTCATAGCACGGTTATTCGCAAAGCGAAATAAATTTTTTCCTCTTCACTCCCTGGCGGCAACAATGACCCGGTTCTATAGTGAATGTCCTAGAAGCTTTACAGTATAGTAGGTGGCAATTTCAAAATGGGTGCGAATCATTGTTCTACAGAAATGCAATATAAAAATACTTATTTCAGATGAAATACCTTAAAAGTTTGAACGCATAATAATATTTGAAAATCACATCCATTGGGCCAATTGCAACGCAGGAGCGTTCGATATACTCAATGGTGCAACAAGTCGATTTAATCTGACCTTCACGGCCCCTTTTCTCACTTGGCTATTTTTAGTAATAGCTCGACTTCAGCACCACTTGGCAGCACGTTTTTGCAATAGTATTGCATACATATTTAAAACATTAGCCAAATCGGATCATAAATAAGATTTTTAGTAATAACTCAACTACAGCGCCAACTGTCGGATTAAATTGTGAAACTAAACCATCCAGAGACCCACTCAAATACACAAAAAGTTTCGTTAAAATCCGTACAACCATTTAGGAGGATTTCACTCACAAACACACCTACAGAAGAATAAAAAAATTCATTCAAAGATAGCTAAAGGTCGGTACGTTTGTAGGCCTCACACCCCTTTTTAAATAGCCCAAATTTTCTCCATGAGAATGTGCTTGATTTCAACT